CTTTTTTTTTTCGGGAAGGAATTTTTTCGGTGCGGGCTCTTTGGGAGAGGAAGGTTAGGCATGCATGCCTAGATGCGGAATAGTGCATTGATGTGGTTTATCACATCGCGGTAATCGGCCTCGGTAATCTCCTCGAATGTCTCATCCAGAACGTGTGCAATGCGCTTCCGCGGGTTTGTCGGGAGAGCCACCATGGTCCTTGTCCCAGCCAGGCTAACATGTCTGCGCCACTGTGCCGCGAGGGGCGGGGGGACCATTGCTGCACCCAGGCAAGCTGCATATGGGCCAGGGCGGAAGCCGCATTGCAGTAGAAGATCCTCCCTTGCTTCCCAGGTCACCCTCAGCAGCGAGATATCGTCCAGGACGAACTCCTGTGGAAAATGTTGGGACAGTGTTCAGTGTAGGTGCCCCCTGAAGCTGTTGGCTCTCCCCAAGGCACAGAAACCCAGAGGACAGTGCAGCCCTGAAATAATCAGTCCCCCTTACTCACCATTTTGAGGCTCCCATGGGATATGTGTGCTCTGTTTCGGATGGGAAAATTATGCTATTGTGTAGACCCTGTGTGTTTTCTACTCCTTAAGTGCGGGGGGAATCATTACTCTGTCTGGTATAAACAATGCTGCCTCTGTTAAATGTTGCATTTTGCCTATACAGCTGCATCAACCTTGAGACCTCAGCCGTCCCTTTTATCACCTGCTCAGAGACTGCAAAGACTCAGGAAGAGACCGCGAAAAAGCAAAGAAGACATGCTGCAAGAAGTGATGCGGCAATCTATTAAAGAGAATGAGAAAGCACAGAACTGGAGGGAGAGAGAAAGCAGGATCCGCCAGGAAAACGCAGCGCACCGGCGGCAAAGCACCGCGCACCGGCAGCAAAGCACTGATAGGCTCATAAGCATCCTGGAACGCCAAGCAGATGCTATCCAGGAGCTGGTAGCCATGCAGAAAGAGGAGCAGTACCGCAAACGCCACCCCCCCCACAGCCCTTGTCCCCAAACTCTTTCCGTTGTGCCCCACTGTCACCTCCAACCCACTTTCCCCAATTTCCGTGTTCTTCATGCCACCCGCTGCCTCCAACACCAGTATCTCCACCACCCAGCCCTGAAAACCACGACCCTTACCCTCTGCACTCAACCCCCATCACCCTTCAGTATAGCTGTCCTGAAGTGGAGCACTCACTGCACAGCACACCAGACAGGACATACGCCAATCTGTGATTGTACTGTTCCCCACTCCACCCCCTTGTTTCTTTTCAATAAATAATTTTTTTTTCTTTTCAATAAATGGATTCTTTGGCTTTGAAAACATTCTTTATTATTGCATAAAGTAAAAGACTCCTTAGCCCAGGAAATAAACAGGCACTGCAAGTCTGCTTGTCTGCTAAGCAGACACTGATTCCTAAAGATTGGAACTACTGCACTTCACTCCCGTGCAGGGCACCAGATATCACTGCTGGTTTTCAGCCTCAAATTGCTCCCTCAAGGCATCCCTAATCCTTGCAGCCCCGCGCTGGGCCCCTGTAATAGCCCTGCTCTCTGGCTGTGCAAATTCAGCCTCCAGGTGTTGAACCTCGGAGGTCCATGCCTGAGTGAAGCTTTCACCCTTCCCTTCACAAATATGGAGGGCACAGCACGTGGATATAACCGCGGGGATGCTGTTTTCGTCCAAGTCCAGCTTCCCATACAGAGATCGCCAGCGGCCCTTTAAACGGCCAAAGGCACACTCCACAGTCATTCGGCACCTGCTCAGCCTGTAGTTGAACCGTTCCTTGCTGCTGTCAAGGCTCCCTGTGTAGGGTTTCATGAGCCACGGCATTAACGGGTAATCGGGATCTCCAAGGATCACAATGGGCATTTCAACTTCCCCTACCGTGATCTTCCGCTCTGGGAAAAAAGTCCCGGCCTGCATCTTCCTGAACAGCCAAGTGTTCCGAAAGATGCGTGCGTCATGCACCTTTCCGGGCCAGCCTGTGTTAATGTCAATGAAACACCCACGGTGATCCACAAGCGCCTGGAGAACCATAGAGAAATACCCCTTCCGATTAACGTACTCGGGTCCTAGGTGGGGTGGTGCCAGAATAGGAATGTGCGTCCCATCTATCGCCCCTCCACAGTTAGGGAACCCCATTTGTGCAAAGCCATCCACTATTTCCTGCACGTTACCCAGAGTCACGGTTCTTCTGAGTAGGATGCGATTAATGGCCTTGCAAACTTGCATCAACACGATTCCAACGGTCGACTTTCCCACTCCAAACTGGTTTGCGACCGACCGTCTGGAGTTGCCAGCTTCCAGCTTGCAATAGGCACCCGCTTCTCCACTGGCAGGTCAGCAATCTCATGTCCTTGCGCCGCAGGGTGGGGGCAAGCTCCTCACACAGTCCCTGAAAGTGGCTTTTCTCATCCGAAAGTTCTGCAGCCACTGCTCGTCATCCCAGACTTCCATGACGATGTGATCCCACCACTCGGTGCTTGTTTCCCGAGCCCAAAAGCGGCGTTCCACAGTGCTGAGCATGTCCGTGAATGCCACAAGCAATTTCGTGTCGTACGTGTTACGCGGCTCGATAGCATCGTCGGACTCCTCACCCTCACTCTCACTGTCACTTTGGATCTTAAGGAATAGTTCGACAGCCAAACGTGACGTGCTGGCGAGGCTCGTCAGCATACGCCTCAGCAGTTCGGACTCCATTTCCCGCAGACAGATCACGCTGCACAGAAACCGTTGAAAGATGGCGCCAAAGGTGGACGGAAAGAAAGGGATTTCTGGGATGCGAAGCGATGCATCACAGGGCATTGGAATCCCCCGCACCCACGGAATCCCCCGCACCCACGCCCCCTTCCCACAACCCACGGCGCCAGAATGGGAAAAGGTGCTCTGTGGGATAACTGCCCATAATGCACCGCTCCCAATAGCGCTGCAATTGCCGCAAATGTGGCCACGACAGTGCGCTGGGCAGCTGTCAGTGTGGACAGACTGCAGCGCTTTCCCTACTCAGCTGCACGAAGTCAGGTTTAACTCACAGCGCTGTACATCTGCAAGTGTAGCCAAGGCCTTAGTTACAGTAAGGTCATCAGAACTCCATGATGTCTCTATCAATAGAGGTCAATTGTTTGTATATTATATTGCAAAAGTTCCCAGAATCTGCTTGTCATACTCTGTCCATTCAGAAACATACTGGTCCAGAGAGCTCACAATCTAAGATGACAAGCAACATACTAAGCCTGGTGAAGGTGCGACAACCAAAATATGTGTATTGGGCAGGGGAGAAGCAGTTCTCAGAAGTTTGTGGACTCTCACACTTCAACTGGTGTTGGTGTTGAATTTGTAACATACACATTCTTTGTCCAAGATTATTATTAGGTACTGGAGTTAAATAGATGTCAACCAAAGAAACAAACACAAATGTTTAAACAGTGACTAAAAATCCCTTCCCCTCTCTGTTGCTCAAGTTCCAATCTCTTAAATCTTGTGATGTCATAATTTCATTAATTCTCCAGTCTTTGGCTGTGTCTACATTGGGAAAATGCTTTGTTAGAAAATATGTTAATTAGTACGTTTTGGCTAATATGTCAAATGTGGCATAGTACCTACTGTAGACAGGGACAGTTGCGTTAAAAATTACTTTTTTTTAAACATGACTGTCTCTGTCTACACTAGTTGCCACTTCATGTTTGACATCATTTTAGCTAAAACATGTTAACACATTTTCTTACATGATGCTTTTTCCCAACATAGACAAAGCCTTAAATGTTCAGATGCTGTTTACACTCTAATGTGAAAAACAAGCAAGGAAAAAATACCCTTTTTGGACAGACTCCTTCCAAAGCTTCTTTATCAATCATAAAGAAGCAAAAGAAAGGGCACAAACCCAATTGTTTTCCTTTGCAAGTCACCTTTAAACTTAATGTTCTGGCCCAATCCCAACTTAGTTAATTACAGTCTGCTTCACTAAATTTCCCATGTAGTTTCAACTGGATACAGGTTTCTTCCCTTTTTGTCCTTTAACTATTATGTTATTGGAACAGTTGGTATTATCCATCCCAGCAGCAGATGCATTTCATTGGTGGAGGAGTGGTCCCTGTGCATAGTTTGAACATAAGTTTATAAAATGCTTTGGGATCTTTCAGGGTGAAAGGCACTGTAGGAGCAGTGGATGCTGATCTTTATTGTCTGTCTAATGTAGCAAGTGACTTTGAAGGAAATTGCTTGAGATATGAGTTACTGAGCTTATGCTCTAGTGTCCAAAGTAGCTGACATGTTTATACACATGATCCGTTTTCCAGTGTTTGGGGGAACAGTCCCTATTTAATTTTTTAACACTTCTGAAGCCTCTGTCTAGAGTGTATGTATCAAATATATATGAGAGTAAATATCTGAATGAATTATCCTGATTCCAGGCACTTGCCTGTTATTGTGGGTAGTTTCGGGGGCTGCTGATGTGGTCGGGGCTGCTTGCTTCATTTGTTTAATGATTGGTTTTCAGAGTGGATGCAGGACTGGATTATTGTCTCAGGATGAGGTCTGACACCAGTGCTGCATGGAGCTGCCTGCTTTTTCTCAGCCTGCTCACTTGTTACTTTTCCAAGGAGAATTCTAACCAGGCAGCTTTAACAGAATATTATCTAGTGCAGTTCAGTTACCAGGACACAGCTGTGTTAATTGCACTGGCTCTGCTTTTTGGAGACTTTTGAGGTGGTTAGTTGTTGCTATCCCAGGCATGAGTGGGTTGTGGTCTTGACCGGTCCTGAGGAGTTTTCATAGAGCCAGATGTATGGCACAATTAATACTCATTGACCCTTTCTGTGCTCTAAGCCCCCAGCCATTCCTAATGGCGTGATGTGCTTTTCCTTGAAGCTGCTGTCCTCTGAGTGTGGCTCATTCTTCCTGATGTACAGGTTGGTAGCATGTGCAGCATTTGCTCCTCTTACCCAGCATTTTGAGGGCTCCTTTGTAGTAGCTGATAATGCTTGTGCCAGACCACTACACTTCCACCTCCCCTGCAGTAATTACATTGGAGAAAGAGCTGCATCTGTACATCAGACACCACACAGCACTGAAATAATGTAAGTGAAACGCAGCCACAATAGAGCAATAAAGCTGCCTCAGCCTCCTAAACACATCAGTAAAGAGGACCCATCCAACAAAGAGGCCTTCATGCTGGGCGATCTATGTTCTATGGGAAATGCTGTTTATGCCACTGTAGACTGAGCACAAGAATAATTGGAGCACTTGTTGAATTCCCCATAATTATAGTACTATCAATTAAACTTAACATAAAACTGCTATTAAATGTAGGAGTAACTCCCAAAGAGTCTTCAAGTGACTTTGGTAGTTTTTTGATGTGGAATATGTAACATTTTGATGGTCACTCAGAGGAGATGTTGAAGTAACTCTGTGCTGCTTCTCTAGGGGATGATGAGCAGAGTGATTGGTTCTATGAGGGAGAATGTGTCCCAGGATTCACCGTCCCCAACCTACTGCCCAAGTGGGGAACAGATCACCGTTCTGAAGTGGAGCGAATGGACTCTGGCCTGGAAAAACTCTCCGACTCTACGTTCCTTTTGCCCTCCCGGCCTGCTCAGAGGGGTGAGCTCCACAGGGAATGGGATGGGTTCAGAAGTGTGTTTGTGAACCTTTAAATGGCAGAGAGAGCAGATTTCATTCACAGAGATGCTGAACTTAAGCTGATATTAAAGTTGACCTGTTTATAGATTTTTAAAATATGCTTGCTTTGGATTATTTTGTTGTGCCCTATCTTTAGACTGGTGTGATGTGGACACTCTGCATGTACCTCTACAGTAAATGGAATTTTGATATTGTGTTTGCTGTTATCTGTAAAGCAAACAGAAGTCTAGATTAAAGATGGCTGCACCAGCCAAAAGAGAACACTGTGAAATGGTGCGTGATCCTTTATTTCAGCTGCCTAAATTCTTCAGTCTCCCTTTTATAACGTATAGATTTTTATCTGTAGCTCTTGGGTAAGTCTTCTCATGGAGAAACTGAGGCACAGAGGTTCTGACTTGTCCAAGGTCACACAAAGCAGAGTATAAAATCCAGTTCTCATGACTCTGAATTCCATACTCTTCTACGCACTGGAGCACAATGCCTCTCATCACCGTATTGCCAGGAGCAACCTTCTGCCTTCAGTGTTCAGCCTTTTCCTTTTTTTGGTTTTCAGGGTTTCATGCTCGTCTGAACCGCCTTCCAGGAGCTGCTGCCCGCTGTCTCAGAAAGGGACGTAGGAGACTTGTTGGCAAGGTATTGCCTCTTCCAAGAGGGTAATTCTGTGTCTGCTCTTCTGGTCAGTTTGGAGCTGCTGCTCTAAGGCAGAAAGTGGATTATTTTGTACAGAAGGACCCTGTGTGGTGGTCTGTCACATACTACTTGCTTTGAAAAATAACTATCTGGTTTTCAGCCGGCTGTTAAGCCTCCATAGACAAGCAGCCAAAGAAGGTGGGAAGATGGAGGGTGAATACAGAGGGAGCTATATGGCAGGAAGCTTGGCCGAGCATAAGGGGAAATGACAGCATTGATGTATCTGGGAGAGCTGTGCAGATTCAAACCCTGGGAGGCAAAGACTGAGCTTAAACTTGATGTTGAAGGTGAAGAGAAGCCAGAGTTTTGAACAGAGAAGCAACACGGTCTGATTGGCACCAGAGAATGATGATTTTAGCTGCATCATTTTGGATGGCTGAAAGGACAGGAGGTCAGAGAGAAGGTTCCACTAATGAATGCAAGAAATGACCAAAACCCTTGGCCAGGATTACAGCAGTTGGCATAGAGAGAAAAGAACATATCTTATATCTGTTACAAAAGGAGAGACAGGATTTACCACAAGCCTGCATGTGGTGGGAAAGAGGAAAGCCACGTCAATGTTGGGATGATGGGGCGGAGAGCAGAGTTATCAACCGTGATGGAGTAAGGAGGCTTTTGGGGATAAAGTAAGGTGAGGGATTGGGTGTTTATTGGTGGGACTTACTCTGCGTTCTTGGAGACTCTGGTTTATATTCACTGGTGAAAGTCCAGTTTCCCTGCCAGCCTCCTGCCTAAGGATTGGGGGGAAAGGGTAAGACCTCTCAGCTGCAGAGAGGAAGCCCTCCCACTTTGTGAGGACAGCGTCTCCAATGATTCAGAGTTTGGGGTGTGTGTGTGTCAGGGGTGTAGTTCCTCTCCCTTCTCTATTAGTCACACTCAACAGCTCCTGTTCTTTCCTTCTTCAGCCCATTCACCTTTAGTTGTAGCCAGCATTTAAAATAAGAGTCCTCAGCTGATGTGAAATCTGCTTTGAGCGGGGCTCTTCAGGCCACCTGAAAGGGCCTGTGCCTGTTGGAGGCTCCTCTAACGATCCCAAATGAGAAGGATAATATTTACTTGTTTAATTCATCTTCATCACCTTAAAGGGATCTTTGTCATTTCCAGCGGAGGTCACTGCTCCCCCCCCCTTCTAAATTGTAATCATAAATAATGAGTTTCATTCAGCGCTCCCCGCCAGCGAGCTGCTAATTACCCAAAGTACGGCTTGTAATTTACACAGTAATAAACCGTAAATTTAAACATTACGGCACTTTAAGTTAATAATTTTCCTGCTGTAACAAATAGCCCATCTTTGTTCACCCCTGCTGCCGCCGCTGCCTCCCCTAAACCTCATGTTCATTTGTGCCCAGGCAGTTTGGCATAAGCTCTGGAGAGTGGCCTGTGAAGCCTTCTCCCCTCATATCTGGAGCCTGACATACACCTCTTTCCCCACCCCTCCCCCCACAGTGAATTTTTTATGGCCAATTGCTATGTGAAGATGAACAGCCTGATATTTAGAGTCTCCTGCGTGAATGTGTACAGGCAACAAACATGCGCTTTGGTGAGAACCAAGCTCCCAAAGCAGTTCCTCCCTCCTGGAATGTGTTTTTACTCAACTGCTGCAGGGGTTTTTACTGAATCTACTGCTTTTGGACAGTCCAAGCTCCCACGCGGAGCCCTTCAGTTCCCTTCTCTGTGCTGGTGAAATTCCCCTTCCCCATCGTCGTCCCCCCCTCCCCCCCTTTTTGTGTGTGTATGCAGTGCATGTTGTAAAGGAGGGAGAAGGAGGAAGGTTCAGTTTCATGAGAAAGAGGATCTGACGGTTCCACTTAGTAGAAACCGTAGGAACTCCTTGCTACCTGAGCTGAGTCTCTTGCCCACCTCACCCAGCAGCCTGGAGTAACTGCTTATAGGAGCCTTGAGTCCCTGAGGGGATTCACAGTCCTCACTGCCAGGCTGAGAGAGGTTACTCTGGGAAAACAGGACCTTGAATATATGTGTGGTGTCTGTGCTGTCTGCTTCTTGGAGAAGGAGGGGGGAATGTCTCAGATGAAGCTTTTGCCTATTATTATGTTTCAGGAGACCAGCTTGAGCACTCTGGGCAGTGAGAGGATGGGTCACATCGTTAATGATCCACGTCAAAAAGAGTAAGGACCTATCTGCTACTGATTATGGTCTAGCACTTTGAGTAGGTGAAGGGGAGGGTAAACTGTGCAATACATTGAGACTGCCCCTTTCCATCTGCTCACTGGAACTGGACGGAGTGAGAACAAAATAACCTATGAGATGGGAGATAGTTGGGTCCAAAACTGACTTGTTCCTCCCTTCTGTACTATTTGCATTTGCTCATATCCCCCCATTATGGGTCTACCCCAATGTATGGCTACGGCATGCTATCCCTTTAATTACATTGAATCTTCCTCCTTCTCCCTCCTTTACCACATGCACTTCTCAAATCCATTGGTCCCCAGCACAGCCTTAGAGGACCCTCTGTCCCCGAATCTCATTATTGAATAGCACTGTGTATGGAGGAGCACCATGGGAACAGAGCTGGGCAGCGGAAGTGATGCTGACAGGACAGCAGCCAGTTTGCCTTCTCCATAGATGCAATGTTCTATGCAATGCAATATCCCTCCTAGCTCCTCCTCCTAATCATAACCAGTACCATGGGTGATCAGGGTGGGTTTCCCTGGAACTGCCACTGTGGTGGTTTGACAGTTAGGGGGGCTTTTTCTGATCATGCTTCAGTGAATCCTGTCTTCACCGGCTATCGGCATCCAGATTCACGTCCTGGCTCCCTGTGTCTAAAACTTGTCATTTTTAGTATGAGTCCTGTCAATGTTTAATCTCTCTCCCTTTTTTCTCCATCTCTGTTTTTTTCTCCCCTTCTCTCTATTCCCCCTCACTCTCCCACCCCCCCTTGCTCCTTCCTTTCTCTGTCTCCCATTCCATCTTTCCTCCCTCCAGTTTCTGGTTACCATCGACGGGGAAGAGAGACCGCAACCAGGTAAGATGGCTCTGCTCTGCCTTTTTTTATTTTCTCACTTGGTTTCCTTCTTTCTAGAAAGAACAAAGTGCTGGCTTCCGATTTCCACCACATTGTGGCCTGTGCACATGAGGTAAGGCAGCCCCAGCCCTTCATCTCACTTTAACTGACATCTTCTGGGCTTCTAGTACATCCCGCATGCCAGGGATTGTATGGGCTGTTGGTACCAAGTAGCTCCCTAGGATCTCAGTCTTCTGAAATCTCCCTCTGTCCATCTGGTTGTTTAACTTCCTCCGTGACAATGAGCTGGAGGGAGGGTCTTCTTGGCTGTAGGAACTCTGGCCTTACAGAATTCTCTGCAAACTCCATGAATGGGACTCTTTCTCCTTTTAAACCCTTCACATCCATCCATTTTGGGTCATGCTTTTTCCTGGTGATCCTGCAGGGGAAGAAAAGCTGTTGGCCTGATTGTAGTTAAATAGCAACCAGACCAGGGAAGTACTGGAAAATGATGGGGAGGGAGAATAGCCACCCCCTCTGCTTTCCATCACCCCTACGTAAGTGCACACTGTCAAGTCTTCTCCAATAAGTGTATTATCTAGATCAGATTCAGTGACAATTGGCTCATCTAGCCAAAGCAGAAGAGCCCAATCTCTGTGACTCTGCGAAGGCAATGGGCCTCTTCCTCGGGCGCACCAGTACTGTCTGGTTCCTCACAGCAATAGTGCCTCCTTCTGTTCAGTGGTCAGATGCTTATTTTGTTTCACAGACACTGATGTTGAATGCACCTTGTTTTTGAAATTGGGTTTCAGTTTTACTGTCTCAGGTGGCTCTGAGTGAGCACTTCATGTCTCCGGGGTGATAGAACTACTCTTGAGGCCATAGAGTCCCCTGCCTGTTAGAACAGCTCTCTAACTTTCAAACTATGTAATGCTCTGAGTGTCAGAGTGAAGACTAACTGTGTAGACCTTGAGAGAGCCACAGGAAATGCTCTTCTTATGATGAACTTAAATAGCTACAAGGGGTCACTGGAGGTTCCTCCCCACAATACCGTTGTAATGTTTGTCTGACAATAGAATAATGGTCCTTTTAAAGGAGAAGCTGTCTGATAATTGACGTTTCAGAGATTATAGCATCTCTTCAGCCTGTATCAAGCCCTTTGTTTATAAAAGGTGGCACTGAGCTCTGGATTCCTGAGTGGTGTTTATAACCAGGGTCCTTTCATAGCTGAAGGATTATTAATTTATAATTTCTTAAAAGCACGAGCGCCCAGCTCTTTGAAAAATGTCCCTATGGGTGCTCCACTTGAGATGCACATGCGCTGCACGTGCCTTTGATTGGAGATTTTTGACAGCAATGCCTGTTTGATCCACACATGCACTCTAGCTATCCTCAAGCCCTGTACTGAGGGTATATAGGTCTGTGACGGATGAACCACCCCCAGTTCCTATAGCAGAAATATGCATTGCTGCTACATGGGCTTCAGTTCACATCTTCTCAAGACACCATGCTTTAATGCATACCTCAAAGAAAGATGCTGCCTTTGGTTCTGCAATTCTGCAAACAGTTCTAGACTGGGTTCCAAAGCTCTCCTTTCCTTCAGAGGGTACTGCTCGGGAGATACTCAAGTGGAGCCACCATAAGGACACAACTCGAAGAAGAGCAAGAAGAGGTTACTTGCCTTGTAAAGTAACTGGAGTTGTTGAAGATGTGTCCCCCTCTTGGTGCTCCACTACCCACCCTTCTTCCTCTTTGCTTTGGCATCTTTGTCTCTGTGAGACTTTGCAGTAGAGAAGGAACTGATGGCAGTTTGTTCGTCACAGACCTGTATGCCCTTGATATGAGCCATTACGATAATTAGGGCACATGCCCGGACCAAACAGGCACTGCTGCCAAAAATCTCCTATTGAAGGCACATTCACATCTTCCGTGGACACCCATAGGGGGACACATTTCAAAGAACTCCAGTTACTGTACAAGGTATGTGATCTCTCTTTATTTTAGGATAGAGTACCAGAGATGTATCTAGCATTTTATAACACACACAAAAATGGATTCCCTGCCCTGAAGAGCTTCTAGTCTAAGTTGAGAACAAACAGGAGGAGAGGAGGATGATGCTGCATGTGGTCACTTGGGAGGTTAATGCAGGCATCCAGAGGGTAGCTAGCAGGATGAATTCTGCAGTCTGTTTCCAAATTGAGTAAATGTTGCTCCATGTCATCATGTGGTTGATTAGTGACTGTTCAATTCCCACCCCTCTCTTAAAAAGAATAAAAAGATTTCCAGGGTTGTGTCCTTCAAGATAAGCTGCCCTTAATAGGGTTGATGGCTCCTAGGCTCTTCCAGTGTCTGCAGTGTGACAGATCTTCGACTGGTCTAAAAACCAGAAGGAGGGGGAAGAACATTCCTGTTTCTCTGAAATTGGCTTAAAAAGGGTCCCTGATGTGAGAGACCTTGCTAACTGGGGGAGGGGGTCTCTCATTCAGCTAGTCCCTTTGCTGTGGAAGCAATGGGGGGTTCTCTTTGAATTGAGCCTTGAAATTGAGCTTTCGGGAGCATGGTTAGTCTTCTGGTAATGAATCTGCTCCATTAATCCAAGTGTCCAACATGAGGAGGAGTTTTACTTGCATCTTTACTTGTATTTATGGAAGTAACTTCTATCCTTAGACCCAAGGGCATGGGCAGAAAGCTCTCCCTGGGGGAGGTGGACACTCATCATGGAGTGCAGCAGTCCCATACAGGGCTCTCTGAATATGCTCTTGTTTACCCTGATGCTTGTGTGCTGAGCAATAGGAGCAACTCCTCTGCAGGGTTGTTGCCTTGAAAGAGGGTAGTGGAAGGGACAGAATCAGATATCACTTGCCCCCATTATTTGATGTTGTGTTGGAGAGGCTCTGAATACTGCTTGAGCCGATGTGGAGAGTGGATTTGAGCTGCTGCATCTGGAAATTGTTCCTTTAAACACTGCTTAAATAATCTCTCTTGGACTTTCCAGTTCAATCCGTTATCTCCTTTGTACTCTCTGGATGTTCTTGCTGATGCCTCCCACAGAAGATGCTCACCAGCACACTGCACTGCCAGGTAATCCCCCTGCTTTGCTCCTATTATGAGGATTGTCTCATTTCCCTTCCTTTGGCACATGTCTGGTTCCTTCAGTACTAGCAAGCCTGTGGGTTAATGCTCTTGGAAACCTGGGTTTCAATCCTGATAAAGTGTACACATGCAGTGAGTTTGGTCTCCACTCAGTTGCCAGTGAGCATGCAGAGTAGTGAGCAATCAGGTCCTGGGGACAGAACAGTGGTTTGGGTTTGAAATACAGACTGGACCTCTGTCACACAGTGCCCAGTAGTACCAAGCTGGTGGGTTGCTGTAGATCATGTGAAGATATAGATGGCCATATCGTTGCCTATTATTAGAATTGGAAACCAAACTGCAAAGAAGGTGGTGGTAGGCTAATGTGCGTTACTGAGGAACCCTAAGATCCCTGGGTGTCCTGAACCGATAGCAGACTTGGCAGTAGATAAACGGAGATGACTTTGTTACTGATGATCTCTCTGTGCTGTGGCGTTATGGTGAGAAACTTGGGTCAGGAATGACCAAGAGTGCTGGCATTATTTGGTTCGAGGGGGAAAGGTCATGTGCTGTACAAGTGCCTTCTGCTGGCCACTATTAAATCTGATTGAAAAGCTTGCCTCACAGCGGTCACTCCAGCATTCTCAGCAATTGTTGCTGTCAAAGTGTAATGCACCTTTGCACCCTTCTTACTGTGTGTGGATGAAGCCTGGCCAGGGAAGGAACTCTACTTATGTTCTTAAAGACAGATTTATTCTGAAGGCGCTCTCCATACTTAAAGCTTCAGTTTCCTTTCACTTGTTAATTAGTAAATAGGGCATGGAAAATATACTAGGGTTGTTTGTCTAAATGAAGGCTTGGCATCTTCCCAGCTCAGCCTCTCCTCCCACTGACTTCTGCAGGGAATTCGTGATGTCGCACCATGATGTCATGCATGCAGGTCTGTGACTTCTGCATAGGACACAGCAGCTGTAGGAGCAGTGGCAGGATGAAAGTAAAAAGAATCCATGAGAATACCAACCAGCAAACCTGCTCCTCTCAATGATTCTTGCCTTCACATTTGCCTTGCACCCCTGTAAACTCCACCATGAAGCTTGGAGCTGCATCTCTACATAATGCAGTGAGCAGGTCCTTCTGGTGCACTGAGCATATGCCCAATGCTACAAGTGGAACCAGCCATTCCCTGTTCTCTCTATAAAAAACAAACCTGTCTCCTGCTAATAAATCCAATCAGGAAAAAGCTGGTGGCACCTAGCTTGGCCTGTGAAAGCCCTACCCTGCTCCCAAAGCTACTGGTTATGGCCGGGTTGAACAAGGGTTTTCTGAAGCAAATGTGATCATTGGGGTTTCTCATTTCTGCTACATGAATAATTTAGTAACCAGTGGATGGGTGTGCATGTATCCTAAGACCTGTCCTTCAGAAACTACTGCCCTATTTCAAAGAATAAATCTCATGTGCTGGCCCTTTAATCTTTAAACTTTAACCCTGCTAATTGCCTCCCGTCTCAATTTCTTGTGCAGCTTGAAGCAGATGTTGCATTCTTTACCCCCTCTCCTAATCTGTGGTGGTGTGTTGCCATGTGCTGTTAAACAAGTGGTTTCTCCACTCTAGAGGTGGCTGCATTTCAGGGGCCTGCAATGAGGATGAAGTGGTTCCAGTATATAGTGTGAAAAGTGCTTAAAAATTCTTTGGGACGAAAGATGATTAGAAATGAAAATGCATGCGCAGTCCCATGTACCTAGGTAAGACTGAAATCTTTAATGGAAGGTGCTTTGCTTTACCTAAAGGTGTTGCCAAAAGTATAAAAATGCTAGCACACTTTCACAAACTCCATTATAGAAATGTCCCCACAACACACAGTTGCTCTTTAAAGGCAAGTTCTCCTTTAACCCCTTACAGAGCCACTAAAAAGGTTCATAAACAGCCTTCGTAAATCCTGGCACCAGGGTCAGACAGTCCTGTGAATCTACTCATCCACTGCTCTAGTTATCAAAATCTCCCAGTGTTCCAGGTTTGGAACCAGCTGATGTTGTTGTTTTATGCTTGTGTAAGCTCCAAATAATCTTCCTACAGAGGCAGCTTCTATCTATCTACTTGTCAAATGGCGGTGAATACACAGGGCATAGAAGAAAGGTTAAAGATCATGTGATGTCTGGTTAGACATTAGCCTGTCCTGGCGGTTTTGTAGAAATGTACTGGATGCCCACTTTCAGCTTGGTGTTCACTATGCCAAGTCATACTGCTTCCCTCTGTTCAATGTCTTGTCTTTTTTACAATTGCTGGCTGCCTTTGGAAAGCCTTTTGCAAATGTATCTGCTAGAAACATAGTTATCAGGTGGAGTTTGTTCTCTTTTCCCTCGTGGAAATGTTTTCTTTGCCTCTAGTGGCTTTTGGTGCAGTTTGTCTGGCAGTGCAGTGCAGTGAGTGTTTTGGAGCTCAGTGCTTCATTTAAACAGAGCTGCTGTTCCGAATGCTGAGTGCAGAGCTATGGGCATATAAGAAGGGCTTTTCAGTGTCAAGGAGAAGGTTCTGTATGGAGGGTTCCTTGGGAAGATGCAGTTGAAAGGCTGTATAAATTGTACTATACAAGATTTCCTTTCTTGCTTTATGTCTGCGATGAGGAGAGATTTTGTTCAAAGTGTCTGGGCAGCACTGGGGATTTCACACCCATCATTAGAAGCGGTTTTGTGTGTGTGTGGTGACTCTGTTATCATTAGTGGTATAATTTTATTTTGCAAAGCGAGGAGAGTTTTCTGCTTTCTTGCAGCTCTCCCCAGGGATAGCTGGTGTATTAATTTGCTGTATTGCCTCCTGGCTGTTCCCAGGCTGTTTTTCCTCTTCATCATGGAATTTTTAATGGCCCTGCTGCCTCTCGGGAGGTGTGCAAGGAAGAGTACCTCGGGTATCACTTCCCTTTTTTCACATGCCTATAATTACTCTCCTTTAAGAGCACAAAAGCGTTTGCTAATCATGCCTTGTCTGTTAAGGTTTACACTTGACGATGCAGCCTTTTAGAGGCAAGTGAGCAGAGGCTTTCATGGAAAGCCCAAGTATTGTACTCCCCCTCTCATTCCCTCTATCCTTTCCACCACCACCCGTTTTTGTCTGCTGCACCTAGAAACTGTATGGAGTGGTAGTGCTGAACAGCTGCTGACTTGCTTCTCAAGCCTGTTTGGGTACTGCAAATGGGCTAGGTTTATAGCGGCTCAGAACCATTGATTAGACATTAAAATGTTCCATGGCTCCATCATTGGGAAGGTGCTTCATGTTTGTTTTTGGCCTATTGGTCTGGTATCTTGATCGTCCCTAGAGTCTAAGAATTTCAGAGCAGACTTGAGCCTCTGTTCCCCTTTCCTCTGGACCTTGGAGTCTGAGTTATGGGTGGAGGGAAGACAGATTGCCTCCATTTCCACTTGTTCGCTGGTCATCCTCAAAAATGAGATTGGGGGTGGAAACTCGTTTATTGTTCTTTCTGGAGGTCAGAAGAAGGGGGATGGTCTGTGTCCAGGAGACAGGATGTTTAGATTATGAGGGTGGGGTGTGAGGAGCCTAAATTAGGGAGCCTAAATTTGAATTGTGTTCTTGAATCCATATTGGAAAGGTAGAACAAGGCAGAGGGATCCCTTCTTCTTCTCTGTTTGGAATCTTTACTTGGGACACTGGAAGGAAGGCAGTTCACTTGTGTGCCATCACACACAGTTCCCAGTAAAGAGTGGTGTTTACTACATCTTTACAAATCCTTTCTTGGGTGACTGTGCTGCCATTGCATGAAGGCTGAGGAGTATAGTAAATGACCCATGAGGTTCACATGATTTCAGAAGTCAACAATCTTACGGTGATTTTGGAACCTAAAAATGTGCTCCTTTAGGACTCCCTGGGGCTCAGGGTGGTAGAAGAGGCAATGCTGCTGTGCAAAGGAAATGTGTGCTCTGTGATGTGATAACAAGAGACCTTTTGCATGCATAGGAGCTGTGTGTGCTGACTGGATGAACACCTTGTAGTGATTTGCACATATGTGATGTGCAGATCAGACTTCGGTGCCCAGCTGGTTGTATCATTTCAAAGAGGAGGAGGAACTCTGCTCTCAGTATTAATTTTGACCTTTGAAGCCACTGTAAACAGCCTCAGGTTTTACCTCAGGGCTTAGAAAAGGCACCTTTTATTTAGCCTGTTTTGCTGCATCACCAGCAAACAACAGCAACAGCTGGGCTGTGTGCTGCTTTAGTACCAATAGCCTTGTTAGAAGGCTGTCTCTGTTGAACATTTACGTTAACATGAGGCTATAGTAGCCTTTGTTTGTAAAACATTAGATTCATGGCAACGCCTAATGCTCACTGTAACTTTCACTAGCATGATACAAATGCTTTACATCCAAGGATATGGTTAGAATAAGGTTGCCATGGATTATGTTGACAGAGAAACAGGGCAGTGTGGGATTTTAGTGAAAGACTCACACCTTGCATGTTCTATGCATCCAGCTTCCAAGGAAGTCTTAGATTGGGCATCATAATCACAAAGAGCCCAGGTGAGGTCCTTTTGTATGCCAGTGGGAATCTTTGCAACAGCTATTGCTCTGAAGAGCTTTTCCTCTTGAGTAAATTTTACTATATATATTTTTTTTTTATCAAGTGTGCCAATCTGGCATGGAGAGTTCTCTGAAAAGCCTGTGATGCCATCTTGTTTTCTGCAGTTGTGGTGCTTCTGAGCCAGTGTCTTGGAAAATTGGATGTTTATAAACCAGGCTTAGTTTTAGTGACTGAGTTGTTTCAGTGGACTAAGTGAAATGAACGTGGTGTTTCTCAGTCTAGTTCCTTGTAGACAGGTGTCCACATCACACAAACTACCATTGCAATTGGTGCTAATTGATTCCCTTCCAGAGAAGCGAAGGACTGAACTCTCCTCTTCGTCCTAGTGATGATTCCTCCAATTCAGGCTTGCTATATCTTGATGGGGAGGAGGAGCTTCTGTTGTGCTGTACTGATCTTGGGATAAAACAGCGGATTTCAGG